TATTGTACTTTTCGGAAAACTTTTTAATGCAAATATAGTTTTGGATGAGCTTCCTCCCAAGCTCAACTGCTTGTGGTATCTACACTTAGGTGTTGATTTCAACAAAGTGGATCAGACTTGTTGTGCTTTACAGTTAATCAAGAGTTTTCCTAATTTGAGTAAACTTCTGATTACGGTAAGAAATAGCACATATATGTTGTCGTGCAATGGATATAATTATTATTTGGTTTCATGTTTGCTCTTCATATATTTGAACTTGAGAAGCCAAAATGTCTTGGTATTTCTTTATACATTAGGTCTAGGATGGCGACGACAATGCTGAAACAATTATGAAATATTTGGAGACACGAACCTGCTTGAATAGACCACTTAACAAGCTCGAGTATGTGACCATCAGTTCATTTAAGTGTTCAAAAACTGAAGTGTTTTTTGTTAAGCTATTATCTGCTCGCACTCCATCTCTTGTAAGGATGTGCATTGAGCAAGAGATAGCCATTGATTCCAAGGAAGAAAGGAATATCACCATAAAATTGATGCGTTTCCCCAGAGCTTCCACACGGGCAGAACTGTTCTATTTTCCATTTGAGGTTACGAACGCAGCAGACTGATTCCCCTGTTTTCAATGAGTTTTGTTAAACAAGGCACTGAATTGGCCAATTACGTAAAACGTGTGGTTTCCTTAATGGTAAATATGTTCATCACTTGGATGTTTTTAAAGTTGAAGAGTTTGTGTTGACATATGCATATTTAGCTACCTGTTTGGTAACTAAGGAAGGAATTTGAGTGATATAGTCCATTTAATTGCAGGGAAAGATTCTTGGTTTTGGGGATATTTTTGCAAAGCACAAGCAGATTCAAATGTTGCTTCCTTTTTCTTTGTATATGAGTCCGTAGACATATATATTGCTATACTTTTATCCCGAGCTCAAAAGTCAACCCCAAGATCAAAATCATAAATTTGACACCAAAATTAGTTTACCAATAAGGTCAGGAGCTTATGCGCCAAAAAATTATTGAAATCTAAGCACTAATCGATTCCCAAATTGAAGAAACATCAATATTCAACTCTGATCTAGGTATTAAAAGCCCCAATTTATAATCAATTTTTGTATGTGAATACCAATGAACCCCTCCTTTTTCATGAACGCAGAGGAGTGAGTTACTGGCACTAGAAGACAACAAAACTAGAAAAATCAAACTTCAACCAAAACTTCAATCCACTCCTTGGAATTACTTCGGAACCTTCCAGATGCAAACCAATTATACAGATTGACGGCAAAACATGTTTTGAGCCTGTTGAAATTATCAAAACGACAGGACAAACCTACTTTTCCAAAATGCTAGAATCCATCCAATGATCCAAATCACTCTTGAAGTTTGACAGATCCAAATCACATGTCAAACCTACTTATCATCCCTCTCAATTGTTGGCAGCCTGCACTTTCTCACTTTTTCGCCGGAATTTCCAACTCTTCTCTTAATATGACATTGCCACCTCTGTGTACTTTTGTACTATTCTAGTTTCACCATTTTGAATCAGCTAGTATGACTCAACAAGTTATACAATTCTCTTTTCCTCTATTCAGTACTGTCAATCGATTTTTATCTAAACCGTGAACACCTCTAATTACTATTGTCAATCACTATACCATAAGATACTATGCACAATCAACATCATCAGTCAACACCATTCCAAATTGACAAACAATCACCATCGTTATTCATCACCACAATCAATCGGCATATCGGGCGGATCAGACGGGTAATTTTGCTTAACGATTTGGCCTATCAGATCAGTTTTTAAATTTACTAATCCGTTAGCCAAATAATAAGATATCAATTTGTTCGATAACGGATTAACAATTATCGGGCAATGTATTGGCTAACATCTACTTTTTTTCATGAACGCACCTTAAAAAAGGGACTTCTTTTCACTATTTTAAATGCAAGTTAAATTATTAAATTTTTTCTATATTTCAAAAAATATATAGATTAATAGTTATATAATAGTTACTACAATAGAAAAGTAAATAGTTTTTTCAATTTTTGTCTTTACGGCTTTAACAATATATAATTATATATATGGCAAAATATTACATGAGACTAATATATCTAAGATAAAAGTGTAAGTATGGTAACTCTGATCTATTTGTTTGCCTCAGTGTAATTACACATGTCTTGTTTGGATGTCACAGTGTAATTATACATGTTCTGTTTGGACTTTGGATGCACAATTGCAATCATAAAATTATATTAAATTTTAAAAATAAAAATTTATACTAAACAAATAAGAAACTTTATAAATGATATTAAAATAAATATTTAAGATATATATTAATTAATAAACATATGTTCTTAACTAATATTATGAAAAAAATAATTGATTTATATATAATTTCAAATTAATATATTTCAATTGAATTGATCATAAAAACAAAAAGTATGAAGTTTCTACGAACATCGTGAAATGCATGTTTGATAAAAATATTAATAGATAAATAAAATGTCATAAATTATTAAAATGTTTAACAAAATGATAATCTAATTAAAAAATGACTTGCAATGTGAATTCAATATTACTAAAACAAATGAAAATGAAAAATATAACATAAGTTATAAATTCAAAACAAAAAATTTAACATAATACTCTTATCGCAAATTTCAACATCGCATAAATAAATATGATTTATTTTTATTTTTTTAAAAGAAAGAAAACGTAAGTCTATAACCTTATTTAACAATAAATTATATTTTAATTTAAAAATTAGAATACTAATAAAATTATGCTAATGAGAAAATAAGCATGGCATAAAGAAAGTAGATAATACGAAAAAATTGCATAGAATCATGTGAATAAGGTTGAGAATGAGAAGAAAATGAAATATAATAATAAAAAATAAAAAATAAACTTTTACAAATTTTTAGAATAATAAAAAAAAAGAACTTAAAATAATAGAAATAAAAAATTAAAACAAAAAAATAAATAGAAGAAATTAAAAAGTAGTCAGCCGGTAATTACACCATGTAATTACCAACAATTCACATCCTCTCCCTAATTGGAGAGTGTAATTATCCCTGCCAATTACACCAATTACCTGCTGACCAAGTAATTATTTGTCCAACTAAACAGGACAATCAGTGTAATTACACTCAATCACACCAAATTCAATTACCAGGTTGGCTTTCCAAACAGGTCCTTAATGGGTTAACGATTTATCCTATAAGGAAATTGAATAATTTTTCCCCACACCAATAAGCCGTTAATTATAAAATTCTAATCCGTCCACCAATCATTTATTCAATAACCCAATACAAATAAGCCAATAAGCTAATTTTACGGTTGACTTATCGATTACAAATTGATTTTGAACACCCCTGCCATCAATCCATATTAAAATTTTAAAATATTTTAATTTAATTTTATATTTATTGTTTTCTAAATAAAGACAAATTTTATAGAAAAACAAGCTATATTAATTATTTAATAGGGCAAATCACATAAATCCTACTAGTTTAGGTCTTAATTATTAAGATTCTCAATAGTTTCAAATATTACTTCCTCTACTATATTTTATGATTAGGATACATGAGTCTGAATCCATGAGATACATGTATCTGTCGAATTTTAAAATTGAGATACAAAATTTATTTATTTAAATTAATTGGTTGTAACTTATTTCCTTAATTAGAGGAGTAATTGAGGATTTTCAAAATACATAGATAATTAATTTCATTTTATTATTCTTTGAAATAGTAAATTCATTAATATTATTAATATAAGATAAAAACATGTATATCTTGGTAATGTAATTTGATTAATTTCAAATTATTACTCTTAAAATAATAAATTCATTAATTTGATGTATCTATTATCAATATATGATGTATCCAACAAACTAAACATTTAGATACATGAGTGCCATACAAGTACATTCATATGTATCATAGAAGTATCTAACATTAATTTCATGTATTTGTTATACGTATCTAGTATTAATTTTATGTATCTAT